AGCCTTGGTGATTCTATGATTCTATGACCTTAGAGGTCTTGTCCAACTTTCATGATTCTACCCGTGGGCATGGTGAGGATGGGTTGATGGTTAGACAGGATGACCTTAGAGGTCTTTTCCGATCTTAATGACTATGATTCTATGATATATCAGTCAAACTCAGCAGGGTTCTGAAGGGTGCTGTGAACACAAGGCTGCGCGCGCACCTGCATTTAGCATCAGGCTGATCTATTCCTTCTCCTCCCTCTGGATTGCCAAACACACAGTTGCGTGGTTCCTTTCTCCTCCTGCTGGCAGGACGACGTGATTGGGAGGTTTCAGTTTCCCAGCAGCCCTCAGCAGGAGATTCGTTAAGTCAGCACAATGCTCCCGGCCCAAGCAATGGTTAGATAACGTTCTCATTGAGTCACCGACGCGTCTCCGGCCAAGTTTGGGAAATCAGGCAGGGATTTGGGTATCGACACCGTCATGAGCTCAAACGCAACATGTGGCTCAGGATCCAATGATCTGCAGTGACATCACTGTGCCCACTGCTCTGCTGAAGGACAGCACAAAGTGGTGGAGGAGAAGGTGCTCAGTGTTTGTGTGCTTGGACAGGAGCTGCATGGAACTGGGGAGAGCAGGAGGATAAGCTGAGCTGAGCACTGAAACATTATATGTTCAGTAAAACATTGACATCTCAGCATTCCCTTCATGCAAGCATGCTCTAAAAGAGATTACTGACATGGAGGGCAAGCTCAATAAAATTAGACAAGGCTTCTTTCAGGTCAAGCAAAGTTCTTGCTGTTCCAACAAAAGGCAGAAACTGTCATGACTCAGTCCAGCCCAGAATTCTCCTCTAATTGCTGCTGCAATCAAAGGAACAAAAGAAAAATGCTTTCAGGTGTCTGTTTGTTTTAAGCCTCTGTACACATCCTGAAGCCCTGTCAAGAGTCAATCATGGAGGCAAGCTTACACAGAGGGCAGCGATGTCTTTTCATTCAACACCTTCCCAAGTCCCTTTGCAACCTCCTGGAGCATTCACCATTGCTCAGGCAATGTCCCCATCCAAGCAGCTACACGCCTTGGCTGCTTGCAGTGTCTCCAGCTGTAGGAGCAGGGAGCGGAGCACGGTGACTCATCAGCTGTGGTTGACCAGGGATGTGACTCAAGGTCTCCTGAGCAAGAGGTAAAACCACACTGAGCGATTTTGGCTCTACATTGGCAGCTGTAAGCAATATTTGACTGCTGGAAGAGGGGTGGGCTGCAGCAGTGTGTGATCTCCCTGTCCTCAGAGTCTGGAATCTCATGCCCAAGCCTGGCCCCATCTAACACAGGACAGTAGCAATCACACCAATAATCCAGATAGAGGACAGCCACCCTTCCCTCATTCCCTGCAGGATGCTCCAAAAGTGCTAGCTGGCAGAACAGAGGAAGGTGCCCACCTCCATCCTCATGAGGACCTCTGGAGGTGGCGAGGCAGAGATGGAGGCTGCACATTGCCCCCAGGGGTCAGGCAGAAGTGGAGTTGGTTTTGGATTCTGATCCTTCGGGATTCATTCTAATTTGAGATTATAGAATCACAGAATCACTCAATGTCCCAAGTTGGAAGGGACCCACAGGGATCCGAGTCCAAATCCTGGCTCCACAACACACCACACAAACCCAAACTTAACATCTGGGAGTGGTGTCCCAGTGCTTCCTGAGCTCCAGCAGGTTGGGGCCATGCCCACCACTCTCTAGGACAAAGCCCCTTCCTCACCCCCACCTGACCCTCCAAAGACAAAGCTCCATGCCATTCCCTCGGGTCCTGTTGCTGTCATCAGAGAGCAGCTGCCACTCTGCTCCCTATGAGGAAATGTAGGGCCATGAGGGTCTGTAGGCCACGATGGCCTGTAGGTCATGAGGAGTTATAGGATCACCATGAGGCCTCCCCTCAGCACAGAGCAGAGTGGGACAGCCTTACTCTCACCCAACTGGGGACATCCTACGACTCTACAGACGGACACCATCACAGGGACCCAAATGGAGTGCAGCATCTGCTGACATCTCCAACTGCAATCCCATCAGCTCTGCTCTCAAAAGGCTGAGAGCTCCCTCCATGCCCCAAAGAGAGGAGGGCAATAGAGACCACAGCCAGCTCCAGCCCAGCCTCCTCCCTATAATAATTTTATGTCTTTCTTGTGCCACATGCTACCAGGACATTATGGTCCCCGTGGGTTTCACTGGGTTCCCTGTGGCCACTGTTTTGTCAGCCCCTGCCCATCCCAGCTGCATACATGTCCCAGTTCTCGCTTTGTGTCCCTGAAAGGGCAGGAGAAAGTCAGGACAGCTTTCAGGCCTCAGCAGAACAGCAGTCTTGTTGCAACACGAAAATGTCTGCTCAGAAAGAAAACCACACCAGTGTACTGCCTCTAGTGTTTATTGGGGTATGGCGCACGCCAAAGGAGAAAGCCTTAAGCAAACAAGCACGAGTGTTCTCACAATCACAACAAAAAGGCAAAGCCCAAACAGAGGTGAGCAGTACTGTGGCCACTGCAGCACGTCAGGGTCCCGTGGGAGACCTTGAGGGATGCCCAGACCCCACAGGCTGTGCGTTGCATGGGGTGTTTTGTGGCTGGGGGCTTTGGGGTGATGGGTCCTTCCAATGCCAGCTCTCAGCTCCATGCAAAAGCTTTAAGGTGTCTCAAGGAGCAGGTTGGTGAAGCGAGAGGTTCCCAAGCCCTCTGCAGAGCATCTGAGTCACTGTGGTGGATGAAGCCTGCTGTTCTTTTCCCGGGCGATGTCCAAAAGAGGGCAGTGCCTGGCCTGACAGATAGGCGGCCCTCAGCTGGGCAGCGGGGTGGTGGTCCTGGTGATGTTTGCTTCCTTTCTCCTTTGGGTGCCGGGGATGGGGACAGCTCTCTGCCCTACTGCCGCCGGGCGGACACTGAGCTGTTCTTCAGGATGCCTCCAGAGCCCACCACGACGGAGCTGCCGGCTCCAGAGCCAAATCCTCCCCCTCCCAGGCTGCAGAAGCCAGCACCTCCCATGCTGCAGCTGCCTCTCCCGCTCCCAATGCCGAATCCCAATCCTCCTCCTCCAAGGCAGAGACCACCGCTGTATCCACCTCCTATGGAGCTGCTGCCGCCCACCACAGCTGCGGGAACAAGGGAAGGTGTGAGGTTACTACCAGCAGAGCCAGGGAGCACAGGGATCAGGGGCAGGCTGGTACTTACAGATGCTCACGTTGCTCTGGCACTCCCCAGACATTCTGCAAGGAAAAGAGATGGAGTGTCAGCACCGCCCCACCAGCTTGGGTCCACACTCCGTAGGACCACGGTGGAGGGCAGCGCCGTTGATATCTTAACAGAAGATGTGCTGCTCTGCATCCCTCCCATTGACTTAGCAGGATGTGATCCAGCCATATCCCCACCCACCTGCACTCCTCGCCCTCCAGCAGCTTCCTGTAGGTTGCAATCTCGACGTCCAGTGCCAGCTTGACGTTCATCAGCTCCTGGTAGTCGCGCAGCAGCTGGGCCAGATCTGCCTTGGCTTTCTTCAGGGCTGTCTCCAGCTCAGTCAGCTTGTCTCTGGCATCCTTCAGGGCCAACTCCCCACGCTGCTCAGCATCAGCAATGGAGCTCTGAATGCTCTCACACTGCAGGACAAGGACAGGGATGCAGCGCATTGAGCAGAGGCCACTGCAGCGCTCTGTGCCCAAATCACCTGGCTCAGCTGATCCCAAACAGCTCCAACCAGGGGCACAGCTCCAAGAGGAATTACAAGGATCTGACACCCATTCCCCAGAACATAACACCCCTACCTGCTTCTTCACGTTCTCAATCTCAGCCCGTATCCTCTGGATCACGCGGTTGAGCTCAGAGATCTCAGCCTTGGTGTCCCTCAGACTGTCTCCATGCTTTCCTGCAGTGGCCTGCAGCTCCTCATACTGATGGACAGGGGACAGAGGAGATCATCAGGGGCAGCATGAGGTTTCCCAGGATTTCTCCACACCAGGAAGGGGAGCACAGAGGCCCCTCTGCCCTACCATTGCCATGCAGATAGCCCTCACCTTGCTCTGGTACCAGGTCTCAGCCTCCAGCCGGCTGCGGTTGGCGATCTCCTCGTACTGCGCCTTCACCTCTGCGATGATGCTGTCCAAGTCCAGGTTGCGGTTGTTGTCCATGCACAGCACCACGGAGGTGTCAGAAACAGTCTTCTGCATCTGGCTCAGCTCCTGCAATTCCCACCAGCATTGTCTTGAGCCCTGCTAGAACACCTTCCCCGTGGTTCCATCCCATTCTGCTGCACACTCACCGCTTCGTAGAGGTTCCTCAGGAAGTTCAGCTCATCCGCCAGAGAGTCCAACTTCGCCTGAAGCTCCACTTTGTTCATGTAGGCGCCATCCACATCCTGCAGCAGAAATTAGGGATGAAAGCCTTCCCTTGATGCACACAGTTGGGTCTAAGTCGAGCACTGTAAGTCAGTGTGCTGCTCCATTTCCGCAGCATACAGCTCTGGGGGCCCTGGGTTCATCTGAGCCCCACCAATGCAAAGCTCTGCTGAGAACCAGGTGGAAATTTGTATAAAAGAATTAAAAATAACAATGCGCTTAGAAAACATAGAAAAAGGTGGCAATTCAGATATCTGGATGTTTTGCTCCAGGGGGGAGGAGCACCAACTCCCATCAGTTGCCCCCTCTGCCCTGTGAGGTTCTGCCTTCAGCTCTCCTTATTCTAACGAGGCACAAGCTTAATTAAAGCCTGCCCTTGTGCCTGCAAGTGCTTGGTCCTCCTCACACACACTTGGGCTGCCCAGAGCTTTACCTTCTTTAGGAGCACAAAGTCGTTCTCTGCAGCTGTCCTTTTGTTGATTTCCTCTTCGTACCTGTTGGGATAACGAGGGAGATTCAATCTCTCTGCTTATTTTGGCTCCTGCTCCACTGCTGGTGGCTGCTGGCCTTGGAGCAATGGGTGCAGCAAAAAACAGATGTGCTGTGAGCAGACTGCAGCCAAACAGAAGTGGGGCTCCATCCTGCATGAGCCCTGGAACCTTCCATTACAAACATCCTGCTGCCTCCACGAGGAGACCTCCTGGTCTCCAGTTGGCCATCGTAGCCGTGGCACAGAACCTTACAATCATGGAACTGCTGGAGTTTGTTTTTTTTTAATGGTCATCCCAGCTAACCCCCTGCAATGAAGAGGGAATGTCCATGGCAGCTGCACACTGCAGAGCTCGGAGCAATGGAGGTCACATCCAGAACCACATCACCTCTCATCTACAGCCTCAGCAAAAATCGAGCAAGGCGAGGGATCAAGTTGTTCCCAAATCCCAGTTATCTGCAGCTTATCAGCTGAGATATTTCTCCATCTTTGCTCTTCTGATGGAGCAAATTAATCTCATCACGTCAGGATAATAATTGATCCCCCTCCCATCAGCGTTCCGAAGAACCATCTAAGTAAGCTTCAAACTATGAAGGAAATTATTGTAAGGAATCCATGAGGAAACCCATGAGGAAATTATAGTGGGATTTAGCAACTGCCCTAATTGCTTCATTAAATCATAATGTCATGGATTCTCGAGCGGGGAAAGGCAAACAGCAGAAGATCCTGCGCTGGTGACAACCGCAGTTCACACAACAATGAGTGCTGGGGCACACCTCGAAAAACCATCGCCTGCTGTCAGAGCTCACAGCTGCTGCAACTTCCTCATAGCACGGATGGCTGCAACAAGTGAAACACTGCCAATTCCCATCATTTGTTCAACTTTCTGACCGCTCAAAGTAATTCTTTACTCCTATTTTTTTTTTGCCACTTGCTACCCAAAAAATTTGAAGTGAAATAGAAGTGGCAAAAAAAAGTCTCCAAAACATCTGCTTTTGCACAGCTGGTGAAATCAGCCAGAGCTCAGACATTGCTAGGAGTGAATCCAGAATAAATCCATTTGGTCCTAGATTTGGGGACATCCCTAGGGCTGCCCAGCACTGCCAAGCCCCGCGCTGGCACCGTGAGCAACGCACTTGGTCTTGAAGTCCTCCACCATGTCCTGGAAGCTCTTCAGCTCTGACTCCAGCTGTATCTTCTCGCTGGAAAGGCCGTCCAGCTGCTTCCTCAGCCCGCTGATGTAGACTTCAAAATATGGGTCCAGGCTCCTGGTGCTCGTGGTGGGGCTTTGCTCCTGCAGGAGCTTCCATTTGGTCTCCAGGACTTTGTTCTGCTGTTCTAGGAATCGTACCTGAGCAATGACGGGGGTGGGCAGAGAAAAGTCAGAATGTTCCTCAAAGCATCTCTCTGTTGTTTGTTTTCCTCCGTTGCCTACATTTAATGAGTTCAGCCCTTCTGTCTGTTCTCGCCTCCTCTCCAAAAACTCCCCATCCTCCCCCAGAGTCCCACTGAGTCCCATCACTGAGATGGGAAACCCATTCTCATGGCGATGGGTGACTTTCCCTCTCCCACTCCACAAGGTCTAAACAGAAGAAATGTGCTGAGCTCTGTCACTTCAGGGCTACAAGCACAGGGACAAAACACCCAATGGCCCACAGGTGGAGGGGAGCAAGCTTCTCTGAGGATGTCCTGCATGCTGCATGGCCCCATGTGTTAGCACCAGTGTCATGGCCTCCAAATCAAGGATCCCATTCCTGCTGTTCTCCAACACCTTGGGATCATTACTTCTTCTGACACTGCAGCCTCCTTTCTGCCTGCACAGCTTTGGGGCAGCACTGGGCTCACTGTTCCCTCTATGCCCATGTCACAATCCAGCAAGGTTCAGCCTCCCCCCCAGACCCAGCTCTTACCTTGTCGATGAAGGAGGCAAATTTGTTGTTGAGGGTCTTCAACTCCTCCCTCTCCTGTGTTCGCACCTTCTGGATCTCGGGGTCGATCTCCAGGTGGAGTGGGGTCAGCAGGCTCTGATTGATGGTCACCTCCTTGATGCCGCCCGGTGGGCACTGGGCGAAGCCCCCAACCCCGCCATCAAACCCTCCGCCGAAGCCACCAAAACCACCAGATATGGCACTGAAGCCATATCCAGCCCCGCTGCCAAACCCTATCCCATTGCCAACACCACAGCCAAAGCCTTGGCCGCCAGCCCCAAACCCTCTGCAGATGCCTCCAGCTCCAAATCCTCCCAGAGCGGTGCTCTTGCTCCCTCCTAGGCTATAGAGGCTGCGGCTGCTGAAGCCCCCGGCGTTGCCACCAGGCCCCCGGCATCCTCGGGGCACTGTGCTGAAGGTGACCTTGTTCTTCCCTCCTAAGGAAGCAGAGCTGGAGCTGAATCCCTTCTTGAAAGCAGATGACTGACGAGACATGGCGATAGGTTTGTGGTAGGAGAGGAGAGCTGAGTGGTGTCCAGAGGTGAAAGAAGCTCTGTCCTGTGAGCACAGTGCCTGAACGCCCCTTTTTATGCTCAGAGGGAGTTGGCCGGCTGTCAGGGGAGTGGAGATGTGATTTTTTATTCTAAGAATGGTTTTAGGTGTGCTTGGAACCGTGCCCTCCCCCCTCCTCTCTGCCTTCCCCGTGACCTGCCTCAAAACACTCCCTAGATAACTCAGAAAGTAAAACAAATCTATTGTTGGTGTTGGAAGCACATCGTCAAATCAGATTTCCTGAGCTGGTGCTGTCAATCCATCACGGGCCCTTCTATAGTTCTCCTGGCAGTGACAAAGCACTACAAGCTGCTTGATGTGTTACACCCTCCAGGGAGACCCCTGTCTTGCCTCCATTACTCATTGGGAGCCATACGGCAGGTGCTTGGTTTGCTGAATTCTGACAAAAGCCTGGTTTGCATCACAGCCCCAGATGCGCTCCTGTTCAACTTTCTGCTCCGGTTCGACTCTGTTTGGCCAAAGCTGTTTCACAACCAAGGGAGGGAGCCCAGCAGGACTTAGTCTTAGGGTTAGCATCAGCTTTGTGTCAATAAGGGAGTTCCTAAAGGTTTTTAAGGGTTTCTAGAAGGTTGGACCACTCTGACTGTGACTTACGGTTATGGTATTGCTTGTGGTACTGATAGGAATGGGAGGGTGGTTGGACTACATGATCTTGCAGGTCGTTTCCAACCTTGTGATTCTGTGATTCTGCGATTATTGAGCCCAGAGGGACACACGGGAATTGCAGAGCCCAAAACATCTTGGTGTTTCCATGTAACCTTCACCCTACATCTTCACCTTTCTTCATTAGGGTCGAGGTGCCATTACCAGCTAACGAGCAGTGTCCATGTCAAGGGTTTCCAATTCCCCAATGGGGATCGTGCCAAGACCAGAGGTGCTTTGAGGTGTCTCTGAGTTCCCCACAAAGCAAACAGCCCTTTGGAGATGAGCAGGACAGAATCCAGCAGCCATCAGCTTCACAGATGACCTCCAGAGCTCTCCTCCAATCTCCTGGAAGCGTGCCCAATATACACCATTCCACAGTTATGGGATAAAAAGGGCAGAAAATGAGCATGGGGACTTTGATCCTACTTCCACCTTCCCTGGTGGAAGGGAGGCAAGGCTGGAGATGTGTTTCCAGCAGGAGCATTGTAGAAAGGCTGCTGGGATCGTTCCCTGTGGGTCCATCATCAGCCCCATTCTGTTCATGCTGCCACCACCCGCCAGCTGCCACCACCTGTCAGCACGCTCTCATTGTTCTAACACATCCAGCTTAATTGCTTAACCGCTTTTAATTTATATTTTAATTGGCAGAGGTGACTGAAGGTGCCATCAAACCGAGGATCCCCGCTTATCCTGCCATTAAAAGGAAAAAAAAAAGACTTCCCCCCCAAACCACAAGGTGCAGCTGCAGCCATGACGACAAAAGCCAGCCTCACACCACTCACTCTGTAATTATCTTTTATTGGAAACACTCATGGGAGAGGTTTGGGGAACCAGTTCCAGCTCAGGGCCTGTTCCCTCTCAGCTTTTCCCCTGCAAACACGCAAATCTGGGTCCGGGAGCAGATCTGAACCACCTCTGCGGAGGAATTGGGATGGAAGGAGCACTTCTCCTCCTGAACCTCACTGTCCCTCTCCATTTCCAGCCCAAAGGGGATCTGCACCGTGTGGAGAAGCTGCTGAGCTCTGCAGCCCACAGCCACCACCCTTTGCAGAGCTTCGGGCTCCCCGATTCCACGGGGACACCCTGAGGTTTCTTTGTCAAAGGCGGCGGCAGCTGCATCTCCTCCACCTTTATGCAACCGACAGAGAAACTGAATGAACCTGTTGGAGCCCGGCGCAGCTCCCAGGGTGGCTCTGCCAGCGGTCCCTGGCATGCGGCGCTGGCTCTGCGCCCATCCGGACGCTTACCCAAGAAATACAGGGCTCAGTGGGTGCACTGCTACACCCATGAGGTCCCAGCCCTCTTTTGGGGTGGGAGATTCCAGCTGATGGGCTGGGGCTGCAAGTGCGCTGCTGCGAGGGGCTTTGGGTTGCCCTGGAGGTGGCCTTGCTGAGTTCCCTTCTGTTTTATTCACTGTGGGCTTGGGGAGGACTACAGGGTCATGAGGGGCTGTGGGATCATGAGGGTTTGCAGGGCACAATGAGCAGAGCCATGAATGTAACAAAGCGCACAATGGAGCCAAGACCTTTCCACAGCCAGTAGACATGGATCCTCCTTCAGAACAGCACCCCAGACTCCTTTCCTATACCCAAAACTGGGCTAAATCAAGTCACCACCAGGTTCAGAGCCATGTGTTCCCATCACAAGCCTGGGGGTTCCCAACTGCAGATGCCATCCCGCCACACAACACCATGACCTCACACAACCACCTCCAGAGGGACTTTTCCTGCACCCCAGGACAGGAGGACAACTCCTGGGTTCTGCTCATGATGAAGGTTTTGCTCAGCCCAGCTTAGAGAAGAGCCAGAATCAGGCCAGGAGGCTCTTCCCATGGGAAGATACAAATACCTGACAGCTTTCTGGCCCTTCCAGAACCCAGAGGTGGAAATCCTGAGCCAGAGGTTCCACCACCCCAGTAATGCCCAGAGCTGCTCCAATTAGAGCAGCCAGCCCGTTTTAATGAGCTCCTCATTCCCGTTGAGCCCTGTCACCGGTAGAGGCCATGCCTAGCACCCTGAGGTGACACCATGGGGCTGGGACCCACGGACTCAGTGTGCCACTGCAGCTCTTCATGGGGACACAGAGATAATGCATCTTTGGGGTTCCGTGGAGGAGCAGGAGGTGATCATGATGGGATGCTCCATTCCCAGGCAGGAATACCAGCATTTAGGGACTGGCTTCATGGCTGGGCTCAAGGATCTGGGTGCTCTTTCCCAACTTTCCATGACTGAACCCAACAGGAGCTGGCAAGGCTCAGCATCTCACAGCTCCATAGGTATCGCAGTGATGGAAGCCCCCCAGCTGCCGCTGGGACATGGAGTGCTTCAGACCCACAGATGCTCCCCACAGCCCCGAAAAAGCTACTGGCAGGGAGGGGACGGAACAGCACTGGGCTCTCCAGTTTGTCTGCTTGCTGTCCCCGTATTCCCCCAGGGTGAGCTGGGTCTGGGATGCAAAACAGAAGGAATAAAGGGAGGAAGGAGCCGGAGTGGGCAGGAAAGTGCCTGGGGCTGCTCCGTGCTTTGATGCCCGGTGCGGGTGGTGGGATAAGGGCAGGGAGGGGGGTCCGTGTCCCTCTGCCCCATGTATGGAACCTCATATCACAGCACCCCTCACCCCGCAGTGGAAAGCTAGATCCATGAGCCCAAGTCCACCCGGTTTCGCCCCAGAGACGCGTTCGGGAGAGCAAAGCACCGCTCCGTCGAGCAGCGCGGACTCGCAATTAGTAAGCGTGCAAATTGCAGGGCTGGGACCCGAGCTGGGAATCATCGAGCAGAAATAACAAGGCGGATCCCGAGCGAGATCAAAGGCGCCTATTGCAGAAGACGGCGGCACTCCTTGGGCCGTCCCCACTGCGTTGCGCACGGCGGAGCCCCGGGCTCTGCCTGCAATACCCGGCTGCTAACCTTGCTCACAGGCAACACCTTCTTCTGGGAACCGTGGCCCTCCGTCGGTGGCATCCATCAGGGCAACTGTTTCCTTTTGGTGATGGCGTGGAGTGCTTTGTGGCCATCGGAAAGCGGCCCCAGCTGCAGTGCAGAATGAGCCCCGCGTGCCACGCAGGGAGAATGGTGGGCAACTTCCAAAGGTCAGAGCCCAGCCACTGCCCCATAGGGAGAGCCTGGCACTCCCTCTCTGAGCACCCCAAAAAATAGGGGGCAGAGCTCCCGGCTCAGGACCTGTAGTTCTGTGAGCAGAGTCCCCAAAGTGGGGCCAATGAGGAGCAGAGAGGGGCTGTGCTGCACCAATGGGCAACGGGAGGATATGGGGCTGAACCGCCATGTGGCTTTGCCTCCAGGATTTGGGGTGCAGAGTATCTCCCCAGGGTCGGGATGCAAAAAAGGAACAAGGGAAAACAAGTGTGAAGCCCTCGAGCTTTATAGAAATGCAATGCAGTTCCAGTGGGGGCTGCAGAGGGAGTAGGGGTCTTTGCCCCATTGCGCTGCACATTGGGGAGAACTGGGTTTTTGGATGGGAAGAGCACATTTTGAGGAGAAATCTGCATAAATGGACAGGGAAGAGCTGGGGGAGAGGGGGAGGATGGATCTGTCCCTCCCCATCACCTCAACCCACACTCTGGGAAAACACCCCCCCCCCCTAAAAAAAATAAATAAATAAAGCAATGCCCTCCCCAATATGCAGTGTGTTGGAGCGTTGAACAGAAATAGGGAGGGGGCAACTGGAATTGTGGGGACACTGTGGGACCGGGGGGGGGAACTTATTGGGATGGGGAAACTCCAAGAGGAGCCAAATCCCCCCGGGGAAATCTCCCCCCAGGGCCGGGAAGGGCGCGAGAGGTGTGCGTGTGAAAATGCAGAGAGCGAGCTTTGGGCGGCTCCTGCCCCACCACTAATTACAGGCAAAACCTCGTCAGCAGGCCCCAGCTTGCTGCTGGCCCTGTGCCCCCTGGCGCACCCCAGCTGAGCCCCCCGCCACCGACAGCGCCCTTAATTCCCCAGTAGTGCCCTTAATTCCCCAATCTTGCCCATATTTCCCCAGTAGTGCCTTTAATACCCCCTGCATTGCTCTTATTTCCCCAGTCTTCTTCCTATTTCCCCCATAATGCCTTTATTCCCACAGCAGTGCCCCTAATTCCCCAATAGTGCCCTTATTTCCCCAATACTGCCTCTAATACCCCAATACTGCCCTTATTTCCTCAATATTGCCCTTGTTTCCCCAATACTGCCCCTAATTCTCTAGCACTGCTCATATTTCCCCAGTCTTGTCCCTATTTCTCCAATAGTGTCCATTTCCTCAATATTGTCCTCATTTCCCAAATACAGCCTGTGTCCCCAGTACTGACTCAAATACCCCAACGTTGCCCTTATTTCCCCCAATGCTACTCCTAATTCCCCAATCTCAACCCTATTTCCCCAATACTGCCCTTATTTCCCAGTCTTGTCCCTGTTTCCCCAGTAATGCTCCTAAACCCCCAATACTACCCTTATTTCCCTAATCTTGTCCATAATTCCCCAATACTGCCCTTATTTCCCCCAGTATCATCCCCACTTCCACAATGCTGTCTTTATTCCCCCCATACTACCCTTAATTCCCCAATATTGCCCCTAACTTCCCAGTAGTGCCCTTATTTTCCCAAATGGGGTAAAACTGGGTCAGAGGAGGAGGAGGAGGGGGCAGCTTTGGGGTTCCCCCGTCCAATTAGGGTGCAGTGTTGCAGAAAGGAGTCCCCAAAATGCCATCCTGGGTCTTCCAGCAGTGGGATCCCAAGGGGGATCCAATTTTGAGGTAAAAGAACCCATTCAGGCAAAAATTTGGGTTCAGGGCTGGAAATTCCCTGTGCCAGTGCTGGGACAACCCAAAAGGCTCTGCCCCCTCCACAACCCCATATGTCCCTGGGCGCCCAGGGGGCCGGGCACATCTGCCCATGAGTCAGCAGCACCTCCTGTGGTGTGATGCCCTGGCACCACATCAGCCCTGGACATGGACACAGGAGGGGGACATGGGGTCACAGCCCACACGCAGAATCAGACCGTGTCCCCAAGCTACGTTATCCCCAAATCTTGATGACCCCAAACCTTGGTGTCCCCAAACTTTGGTGTCCCCAAATCTCCATATCCCTAAACCTCACTGTACTCAGACTTTGGTGTTCCCAAACTTCGATGCTCCCAAGCATCAATGTCCCCAGGTTTTGGTGTCCCCAAGCCCTAGATGTCCTAAACTTCCATTTCCCCAAACCTTGGTGTCCCCAAGCTTTGGTGCCCCCAACCACTGGTGTCCCCATACCTCCATATCCCCAAGTTTTGGGCACCCAATCATTGGTGTACCCAACCCTGGATGTCCCCAAACTTCAGTGTCCCCAAGCTTTGGTGTCCCCAACTCTTGGTCTCCCCAAACCTCAGTGTCTCTCAAGTGTTGCTGTTCCCTAAACATCAATGTCCCCAAGATGTTGTGTACTCAACACTTAATGCCCCCAAACCTCATTTTCCCCAATCCTTGGTGTCCCCAATCCCCAAAACTCAGTGTTCCCAAACTTTGATGTCCCCCAACCCCTGGTGTCCCCAAACTTCAACATCTCCAGTTTGGCACGGTGACAATGCCCTTCCCCAATGGGCTCACCTTTGGGGTCTGTGGCTTTTGGGGAGGTGTGGGGTGGGTTTGACCCCCTCAGAACCTGGGTGCTCGTCCCCCATAGAATGGTGAGTTGGGTTGGCTTTGGGGTGGGGAACACGAGGTGGGGTGGGGGAGTCTGGGTGGGAAGTCATGGCC